TTACAATTTTGTCCTCTCAGCCCCTCCTCAGTTTTGTAACTCTCATATAATTTATGATTTTGTCCCCCTTAAACTTAATGATCATTTAATATATTTAAGTATATATTTATAATTTTATCCTTTCACCCTTTCATCTTCTTACTTCCTTTTATATTTATTTATTATTTATTAATAATATACTATTTGGCCCTTCCAAGATCAATGGTCAAGATCCGCCACTCGTTCTTGATGCATATGATATGCTCAAACCACCACCAACAGAAGGTGTCATTGATAGACCACTTGTTTGTGATTCCACTCTCACTGTATGGATGTGACAATTGTCATGGTCGAAAAAGATTATGCCTCCCTCCTGTGTTGCGTCCTGCCCCAAATGTATTTTGGGGTTTTAACATTTATCCAATAGTCGAGTCTTCAAAACATATTTAAACGTGTCGACATTAACCCTTTCACACATTTAATTAATGTGGCAAACACTTATTAGGCCACTATTTCCACATTAGCACAAATGTTGACGTTACCCAAGCCTAAGGATTAAAAATGGAACTTCAAGGAATAAAAGGATGTGAATATGCAAATTTTTTACAGCACAAAATGAAAAATAAAAAAATTACTTCAAGATTGAAGAACTAAAAACAAATTTAAGCCTTAATTTGATTAGAGGGGTTAAGTGATTATTCAAATGTTTTAACACGTGGCCCATTAGCTCAGTTGGTTAGAGCGTCGTGCTAATAACGCGAAGGTCGCAGGTTCGAGACCTGCATGGGCCATTTATTTTTATAAATTTTAAGGGAAATCTTATTATCTAATGTTTTTAGTCTTAAATTATTTAGTGCATTGTTTATATATATATATATATATTGAAAATAGAGAAAAATATAATTTTGCAATAGATTTGAATCAGCCTCATGGGACTTTTTAGGCCATTGATAATGGTATTTAAGTCTTGTTTGGGAGTTTGTTTTATTTAAAATCATGTTGTCACAATTTTGAATTGTATTTTGGGTCTTGCTAGTGGATTAGGGTGTTGGGGAGACTCACCCTTACAAGTGAATTTTTCAGATGAATGATAGGAAAATTCTACAAAGGAAAACTATTTTGTCACGAAGATTAATTGGCAAGATATTCTAATTTTATCTTGTATGGTGGAAATATGCTATCAACTAATGACTTTTTTTTTTTGAGAGTATATTACACGATGAAAAAGGTTTTATACACCATTTTTTATGACATGAGACAAATAAGAATACGGTGTTTATCTATTCCTTATTCCTTTTAAAGAATATCTCGTGTGTGCATATCTGTATTAAATTTCCAAATTTGTATATGGATTTTTCTTAACCTTGATACCAAGATGTTTTCATTATATTCATATTAATTCTATTGTCTAAAATAGTAGTGTTTATATATAGGTTCCACGTTTAATTTTTTTTCAAATACGGATGTATATGTTGAAGATGTTATAAGAATATTGTTATGCATATCACTTATTTATGGTTCATCAAATTTATTTCTTTAATTCTAGTTCATCGTGAATGACTTTATCTTATTTTTATTACTTATCAATTTGAAGTGTCGATGATTTACTAAGTTAGCTAAACACTAAAACTATTTCTAAGGAAGCTCATTTTTTTCATTAAATTTATTTCATTTAAATCTCATACAAAACTTTCGGTCTACATTAATCAAATTTCATCATGAGTTTTCATAAACAACTTTAGAAATGAACACATATCTAGTTAGTTGTTTTTGAAATTTTCATAATGAAAGGAAAAAAATATTGCACAAAGAAAGAGTGTTACATTAAATAGACAAAAAAGATAAACAACTAATGTTGCCACCCAACTAATCTCAACCACACAAATTGAGGCTAATCAGTTCGTTTTTTTATGTGCAAGCTTTTCTACGTAACTTATGAATCTTTCTTTCTCCTGTTCCAATGCTTCCTCAATTTCATCCTTCTTCATATCTATCTACTGCATCCACGCCTACATCTTTACCTTTTCACATTTAAAGAATTTGCAATTATTTCCATTTTGCAAACAAAAGCTATTGTTATTTGATGAAGATAAAAATTAAGGCATATCACACTATTTTGGTTTTGCAAAACATAGTTTCTTTGATAGTAAGAAAGAAAGATCATAAGGTGTCATTGATGCATATGATATGCTCAAACCACCACCAACAGAAGGTGTCATTGATAGACCACTTGTTTGTGATTCCACTCTCATTGTATGGATGCGACAATTGTCATGGTCGAAGAAGATTATGCCTCCCTCCTGTGTCGCATCGTGCCCCAAATGTATTTTGGAATTTTAACATTTATCCAATAGTCGAGTCTTCAAAACTTATTTAAACGTGTCGGCATTAACCCGTTTACACATTTAAGCAATGGGGCAAACACTTATTAGGTCACTATTTCCACATTAGCACAAATGTTGACGTTGCCCAAGCCTAAGGGGTAAAAATGGAACTTCAAGGAATAAAAGGACGTGAATATGCAAATTTCTGACAGCACGAGATGAAAAATAAAAAAATTACCTCAAGATTGAAGAACTAAAAACACATTTAAGCCTTAATTTGATTAGAAGGGTTAAGTGATTATTCAAATGTTTTAACGCGTGACCCATTAGCTCAGTTGGTTAGAGCGTCCTGCTAATAATGCGAAGGTCGCAGGTTCGAGACCTGCATGGGCCATTTATTTTTATAAATTTTAAGGGAAATCTTATTTTCTAATGTTTTTAGTCTTAAATTATTTAGTGCATTGTTTATATATATTAAAAATAGAGAAATATAATTTTGCAATAGATTTGAATCAGTCTCATGTGACTTTTTAGGCCATTGATAATGGTGTTTATGTCTTGTTTGGGAGTTTGTTTTATTTAAAATCATGTTGTCATAATTTTGAATTGTATTTTAGGTCTTGCTAGTGGATTAGGGTGTTGGGGAGACTCACCCTTACAAGTGATTTTTCGAGATGAACGATAGGAAAATTCTATAAAGGAAAACTATTTTGTCATGAAGATTAATTGGTAAGATATTCAAATTTTATCTTGTATGGTGGAAACATGCTATCAACTAATGACTTTTTTTTCCGAGAGTATATTACACAATGAAAAAGGTTTTATACACCATTTTTTATAACATGAGACAAATAAGAATACGATGTTTATCTATTCCTTATTCTTTTTAAAGAATATCTCGCGTGTGCATATATGAATTAAATTTTCAAAATTGTATATGGATTTTTCTTAACCTTGATACCAAGTTGTATTCATCATATTCATATTATTTCCATTGTCTAATATAGTAGTGTTTATAAACAGGTTCCACGTTTTTTTTTTCAAATACGGATGTATATGTTATAAGAATATTGTTATGCATATCACTTATTTATGGTTCATCAATTTTATTTCTTTAATTCTAGTTCATCGTGAATGAATTTATCTTATTTTTATTACTTATCAATTTGAAGTATCCATGATTTACAAAGTTAGCTAAACACTAAAACTATTTTTAAGGAAGCTCATTTTTGTCATTAAATTTATTTCATTTAAATCTTATACAAAACTTTCGGTCTACATGATGTGGACATGACCTATCACAAGGGTTAAAGCAAGGGAAATAAAAGGAAGTTCTTCAACAAGTATTGTTGGTTGACCAAAATTTTGTTTTGGATTAATCAATTAATGACTTTTGCTTATGTTTTATTGCAAGTTGTAATAAGTGTCAAATTGGAAACTTAGTCATCAGTCTTTGGGAGACTAAGAGGGTGCATAGCTGATTGACTTTTGGTTACCACAATTTTAATTACAATCAGTCATTAAGTAATATCAATTCCTAGGTTAATGGATCATTATTAACATTTATTTGTCTCCATTAAGTAGTTTTCAATTCCTAGGTTAAGAAATCATTATTAGCATTTATTTTCCTTTAGTGAATCTTTGTAACTCTTATGGCAAAGCTTCTTTATAAGTTGAACCATTTTTATCAGAAATAACAAGTTGAGTTTTATTTATAGAAATATTAGAGTTTATCTCTTTTATCTTAGTGAGAGTGATTCTCCTAAATTCTTGAGTGGTTCAAGAACTCTTTGGTTGTATCAAAGGACTTTCACATCCTTTATGAGTTGCCTTTCTTGGGAAGAGTGATTTTTTCCTTCCACCTTATCACTAAATTCCTAAATTTCTTATAAGGTTCTAACCCTAAAGATCCTAAATCACCCCTTGTGATTCATATCACTACATTAATCAAATTTGATCATGAGTTTTTATAAACAACTTTAGAAATGATCACATATCTAGTTAGTTGTTTTTGAAATTTTCATAATGAAAGGAAAAAAATATTGCACAAAGAAAGAACATTACATTAAATAGACACAAAAGACAAATAACTAATGTTGCTACCCAGCTAATCTCAACCAGCCAAATTGAGGATAATCAGTTCCTTCATTTATATGCAAGCTTTTCTATGTAACTTATGAATCTTTCTTTCTCCTGTTCCAATGCTTCCTCAATTTCATCCTTCTTCATATCTATCTATTGCGTCCACGCCTACATCTTTAGCTTTTCACATTTAAAGAAGTTGCAACTATTTCAATTTTGCAAACAAAATCTATTGTTATTCGATGAAAAGAAAAATTAAGGCATATCCCTCCTGTGTCGCGTCCTGGCCCAAATGTATTTTGGGGTTTTAACATTTATCCAATAGTCGAGTCTTCAAAACATATTTAAATGTGTCGGCATTAACTCGTTCACACATTTAAGCAATGTGGCAAACACTTATTAGGACACTATTTACACATTAGCACAAATGTTGACGTTGCCCAAGCCTAAGGATTAAAAATGGAACTTCAAGGAATAAAAAGATGTGAATATGCAAATTTTTGACAGCACGAGATGAAAAATAAAAAAATTACCTCAAGATTGAAGAACTAAAAACACATTTAAGCCTTAATTTGATTAGAAGGTTTAAGTGATTATTCAAATGTTTTAATGCGTGACCCATTAGCTCAGTTGGTTAGAGTGTCGTGCTAATAACGCGAAGGTCTTAGGTTCAAGACCTGCATGCGCCATTTATTTTTAATAAATTTTAAGGGAAATCTTATTTTCTAATGTTTGTAGTCTTAAATTATTTAGTTTCATTATATACATATTATTTCCATTGTCTAAAATAGTAGTGTTTATATACAGGATCCACGTTTAATTTTTTTTTTTTAAATACTGATGTATATGTTGAAGATGTTATAAGAATATTGTTATGCATATCACTTATTTATGGTTCATCAATTTTATTTCTTTAATTCTAGTTCATCGTGAATGACTTTATCTTAGTTTTATTACTTATCAATTTGAAGTATCCATGAGTTACAAAGTTAGCTAAACACTAAAACTATTTCTAAGGAAGCTCATTTTTGTCATTAAATTTATTTCATTTAAATCTCATACAAAACTTTCGGTCTACATTAATCAAATTTGATCATGAGTTTTCATAAACAACTTTACAAAATGATCACATATCTAGTTAGTTGTTTTTGAAATTTTCATAATGAAAGGAAAAAAATATTGCACAAAGAAGGAGCATTACATTAAACAGACACAAAAGACAAATAACTAATGTTGCTACCCCATTAATCTCAACCACAAAAATTGAGGCTAATCAGTTACTTCTTTTATGTGCAAGCTTTTCTATGTAACTTATGAATATTTCTTTCTCTTGTTCCAATGCTTCCTCAATTTCATCCTTCTTCATATCTATCTACTGCATCCACACCTACATCTTTAACTTTTCACATTTAAATAATTTGCAATTATTTCAATTTTGCAAACAAAAGTTATTGTTATTCGATGAAGATAAAACTTAAGGCATATCACACTATTTTGGTTTTGCAAACAATAGATTCTTTGATAGTAAGAAAGAAAGATCATAAATTTAAGATAGAACATCTCCAAAACTTCCTTCCGTGATTCATTGCACTGTTCTTCGTGTAAAGTTAAACTCTCTCTCCGCACAAGTATTATCTTACTCATGAAAAAAGAATCCATTGTTGAAGAAGTTCTTGATGCATATGATCTGCTCAAACCACCACCAACAGAAGGTGTCATTGATAGACCACTTGTTTGTAATTCCACTCTCACTGTATGGATGCGACAATTGTCATGGTCGAAGAAGATTATGCCTCCCTCCTGTGTCGCGTCCTGGCCCAAATGTATTTTGGGGTTTTAACATTTATCCAATAGTCGAGTCTTCAAAACATATTTAAACGTGTCGGCATTAACTCGTTCACACATTTAAGCAATGTGGCAAACACTTATTAGGCCACTATTTACACATTAGCACAAATGTTGACGTTGCCCAAGCCTAAGTATTAAAAATGGAACTTCAAGGAATAAAAAGATGTGAATATGCAAATTTTTGACAGCACGAGATGAAAAATAAAAAAATTACCTCAAGATTGAAGAACTAAAAACACATTTAAGCCTTAATTTGATTAAAAGGTTTAAGTGATTATTCAAATGTTTTAACGTGTGACCCATTAGCTTAGTTGGTTAGAGTGTCGTGCTAATAACGCGAAGGTCTTAGGTTCAAGACCTGCATGTGCCATTTATTTTTATAAATTTTAGGGGAAATCTTATTTTCTAATGTTTTTAGTCTTAAATTATTTAGTTTCATTATATTCATATTATTTCCATTGTCTAAAATAGTAGTGTTTATATACAAGTTCCACGTTTAATTTTTTTTTTTTTTAAATACTGGATGTATATGTTGAAGATGTTATAAGAATATTGTTATGCATATCACTTATTTATGGTTCATCAATTTTATTTCTTTAATTCTAGTTCATCGTGAATGACTTTATCTTATTTTTATTACTTATCAATTTGAAGTATCCATGATTTACAAAGTTAGCTAAACACTAAAACTATTTCTATGAAAGCTCATTTTTGTCATTAAATTTATTTCATTTAAATCTCATACAAAACTTTTGGTCTACATTAATCAAATTTGATCATGAGTTTTCATAAACAACTTTACAAAATGATCTGTTTTTGAAATTTTCATAATGAAAGGAAAAAAATATTGCACAAAGAAGGAGCATTACATTAAATAGACACAAAAGACAAATAACTAATGTTGCTACCCCATTAATCTCAACCACAAAAATTGAGGCTAATCAGTTCCTTCTTTTATGTGCAAGCTTTTCTATGTAACTTATGAATATTTCTTTCTCTTGTTCCAATGCTTCCTCAATTTCATCCTTCTTCATATCTATCTACTGCATCCACACCTACATCTTTAACTTTTCACATTTAAATAATTTGCAATTATTTCAATTTTGCAAACAAAAGTTATTGTTATTCGATGAAGATAAAAATTAAGGCATATCACACTATTTTGGTTTTGCAAACAATAGATTCTTTGATAGTAAGAAAGAAAGATCATAAATTCAATATAGAACATCTCCAAAACTTCCTTCCGTGATTCGTTGCATTGTTCTTCGTGTAAAGTTAAACTCTCTCTCCGCACAAGTATTATCTTACTCATGAAAAAAGAATCCATTGTTGAAGAAGTTCTTGATGCATATGTTATGCTCAAACCACCACCAACAGAAGGTGTCATTGATAGACCACTTGTTTGTGATTTCACTCTCATTGTATGGATGCGACAATTGTCATGGTCGAAGAAGATTATGCCTCCCTCCTTTGTCGCGTCCTGCCCCAAATGTATTTTGGGGTTTTAACATTTATCCAATAGTCGAGTCTTCAAAACATATTTAAACGTGTCGGCATTAACCCGTTCACACATTTAAGCAATGTGGCAAACACTTATTAGGCCACTATTTCCACATTAGCACAAATGTTGACGTTGCCCAAGCCTAAGGATTAAAAATTGAACTTCAAGGAATAAAAGGATGTGAATATGCAAATTTTTGACAGCACGAGATGAAAAATAAAAAAATTACCTCAAGATTGAAGAACTAAAAACACATTTAAGCTTAATTTGATTAGAAGGGTTAAGTGATTATTCAAATGTTTTAACGCGTGGCCCATTAGCTTAGTTGGTTAGAGCGTCGTGCTAATAACGCGAAGGTCGCAGGTTTGAGACCTACATGGGCCATTTATTTTTATAAATTTTTAGGGAAATCTTATTTTCTAATGTTTTTAATCTTAAATTATTTAGTGCATTGTTTATATATATTAAAAATTGAGAAAAATATAATTTTTAAATAGATTTGAATTAGTCTCATGTGACTTTTTAGGCCATTGATAATCGTGTTTAAGTGTTACTTTATAATAATTATTTCTTGTTTGAGAGTTTGTTTTATTTAAAATCATATTGTCACAATTTTGAATTGTATTTTGGGTCTTGCTAGTGGATTAGGGTGTGGGGGGAGACTCACCCTTACAAGTGATTTTTCCAGGTGAACGATAGGAAAATTCTACAAAGGAAAACTATTTTGTCATGAAGATTAATTGGTAGGATATTCTAGTTTTTTCTTGTATTGTGGAAACATGCTATCAACTAATGACTTTTTTTTTCGAGAATATATTACACGATTAAAAAGGTTTTATACACCATTTGTTATGACATGAGACAAATAAGAATACGATGTTTATCTATTCCTTATTCCTTTTATAGAATATCTCGCGTGTGCAGATTTGTATTAAATTTCCAAAATTGTATATGGAATTTTCTTAACCTTGATACCAAGTTATTTTTATCATATTCATATTATTTCCATTGTCTAATATAGTAGTGTGTATATATAGGTTCCACGTTTAAATTTATTTTTTTTCAAATACAGATGTGTATGTTGAACATGTTATACGAATATTGTTATGCATATCACTTATTTGTGGTTCATCAATTTTATTTCATTAATTGTAGTTCATTGTTGATGACTTATCTTATTTTTATTACTTATCAATTTGAAGTATTCTTGATTTACAATGTTAGTTAGACACTAAAACTATTTCTAAGTGTTAAAGTCAGTTAGTTTTTTAATAGCTAATAAGGATTACTACCTAGAGTAGTAATTGTTTATTTTCGTTCAGTTACTTGGTTTTTCCCTTTGATTAGGGTTCCCACCCTATATAATTGGTTTTCTTCTTTTTTTTTGTAAAGTAAGTCAACACATAATAAATAATACATAGATAGTTCTAGATTACCCTGTTAATCATCTCGTGGAACCCTGTATCGCTTGCATTTTCTACCACGATCTCTCTTCCTCTTTTTGCGATGCTGGAGTTCTTCTTCCCTTTCGCTTTCTCTCAAAGCCTTTTAGGCTTGGTTTTTCCTTCCATTTTCAGCACAACTTTTTTCTCTTTCTTCATCTTTAAAGTTGTGGGTCCCTCATCATGGTATCAGAGCATTTCTCCGTTTCTACTGCAGCCTACTCTGATCATCTTCATCAATCTTGTTGATCTTCTTTATTACTGGCCCAATGGAGATTTCAACCAACACTGCACAAAACAACAACCTGGATCAATCTTTAAATCCCTCTAGCCCTTTTTACGTTCATCCTAGAGAAAACCCAGGCCTTGTATTAATTTCTCAAACTTTAAATGAATCTAACTACTCATCATGGAGCAGAGATATGAAGAGAGCCCTACTCTCCAAAAAAAAATTAAAATTCATTGATGAAGGAATAAAAAGACCGCAAAGAAATGACCCTTTGTACGATCATGGGAAAGATGCAACATGATGGTCTTGTCTTGGATTATCAAGACTCTTTCAACCCAGATTGCAAAAAGTGTCATATATGTTAAAGATGCTAAAGAAATCTGGGAAGAATTGAGGGAGAGATTCTCCAAAGGAGACTATTTCAAGATTTCAGATCTATTGCAAGAAATCCATTTCATAAAACAAGGTGAACGTACTATTACCCAATTTTTTACAGATTTAAAAATCCTATGGGAAGAACTTGAATATCTTATACTCATTCCTTTATGCACTTGCAATACTCCTTGTACTTCTGATTTGTCAAAAGTCTCTGTTAAATACAGAGAAATTGAACATGTTATTTGTTTTCTAAAGGGTCTAAATGACACCTGTAGCACTGTAAAGACACAA